CTATCTAATAGCGAAAAAAATAGATAAAAAAAAATTAGGAACTTTATTAACTTAAGCAACAAGTGCAATAAAGAATTCAATAGAATTAATTGATATCATAAAAAATATTCCAGTTTCAAACTCATTCATTCTGGTCAGCTTTGACGTTGTAAATTTGTTTACTACCATTCATTTAATAGAATGCGAAAAACTATTTAAATTATTATTATATAAAAGTAAAGTTAATCCATTTTTATGTAAAGATATAATGGCTGTCCTCTCATTGTGCTTTAAACAATTTTTTTTTAAATTTAATAACAAATTTTACAAAATGGACGCTTTGCTTGATGGGCTCTTCATTATCCTCACTGAGTGCTGAGCTGTTAATGGACAGTCTAGAAAAAAGCATATTCTCTATGGAAGATTTTAAAACAAATGTTAGACACTGGTCCAGATATGTTGACGTTTTCTGTATATGGGAAGAGAACATAGATGAATTAAATAAATTAGTTACAGATATCAATAATATGCATCACAATATAAAATTCACAACAGAAATAGGTCCAAATAAAATTAACTTCCCTGACTTGACCATTTCAATAGATAATAATTCAATAACATTTCGCATTTATAGAAAACCGACCAGTACAGACATAATAATACCGTTTGACTCGTGCCACTCTTGGTCACAAAACTCAGTACTATTTACTGGCTAGCTAATAGGTTACAAAAAATACATTTATCCCTCTACAAAATTAACAAAGAAAAGGCAACCATTTTTCAAATTGCATCAAATAATGGGTACACGACTAAAATTATTGAAAAAATATTTAGGAAAATTGAAATCCAAAAATTTGAACACGCTTATAGCTTATTACCAGTCTACAATATAATAATATTGATGTTAAAGATTAAAGAACAATTACATATATAGGTCCAGATAATTATAAAATTAATAGTATTTTTAAAGAGACAACAAAATTGTGGCCCTTAAACCTTTTACAAGTTTAAAAAACATGATCTCCAGGACTAAAGATCGAGTTGATCCTTTAAATAAGAGTGGGTTCTACTCGATAGAATGTTCATGTTCTGCCGTTTATATCGGTCAGAAGGGAAGAAAACTAAAAAACAGAATAAAAGAACACCTCTCTGGTTCAGGCCTTGCATCACATTTTAAAGATCATTTTTTAAATTGTTCACACCCACAAAAAAGTAACAAGGTAAAACTGTTGCATGCCATTCCAAAAGGGAAAAGAATGGACTTTTTTGAAAAATTAGTAATTAAGAAAAGGATTATAAAAAATGACACAAAATGCCTGAATGTGCAAAGTACTCAATTTGAGGATTCTGCACTCATAAAATTAGTGGCGACAAATGGAAACAATATGTAGGGTTAGGGATAGCCCATCTGATAAATAGTTTTATTTCTATTTTTGACAAGCAGGAGAGGAGGACCACCATCAGTTTGGTGATTACCATTTTTATTGATTAATTTATTAAGAATTAATAAATATTAGTTTTAGAATATTATTTTTCAAGTTTCAAGGACGATTTTCCCCTTGAATGAATTTATAATTCATTAACCGATGCGTTATGTCTTGATTGCCCATTGTCTCAACCTCAGAATAATTTTTCATGAAGCTCCTATTCTATTTTTTAGGTATCACAAAAGAGGAAAAATGGTGTATTAAAGAAATAGTTATTTTTAAACTTTGTGTTGCTAGTAATCAAAATATTTTATAGCCTATGACCATATTCAAAAATATAAAAAATAGGATTTAATATAAAAACCTTAACTTTTTATGTCGTTTTGTAAATATATTTTATTTTAATTAAGTTTTTTATACCCTAGAGTGAAAAGAAAATGTATGCCTAATTATTTAAACATAAAGTATTGTAGAAAAAGGCACAATTTTTATATTCTTTTCAAAAACGTATATTATGTCGCTACCATATCTTGGTTAATTCTTCAACAAATCGAATGATTAATCTCTCATATTGAAGATCTTTCTCATGTGGGAAAAATAGTCATTCCCCTAAATTTCAGGAAAAGAACATTGTGAAGGAAAAGAAACGTTATTTGCGAATAACTCATAAAGTATTATTTATTTTTTTATTATAGTCATGATTATTTCATCGAATTCGGACCATTATTTGTAGTGTTACAGGTTTCTGTAATTCATAAACACTTAAGTTTGAAACATAAATGAAGTTTTATAATTCTTTTTTCTTTTGTCGATTACAATTACCGAAAACATAGGAAATGATTCCATCATCTTATCATTGTTTAATTATTTAATATTCTTACTGTTTTGTCATTTGTTCGCTGACTAATATTGGTTCCGAATTATTCCCATGGACCTTTTACTATTGATGTAAAATTTAAAATATTGAATGATATAGAAGTTCAAATGGATGAAGCATTTGAGGTGCATATTCTTAAAAATGAATCATTACATTAGATAAAGTGTACTAAATTATATATTTTTAACAGTTCAATTCAACTGTTGACTCAAACTGAGATGATAAAGGCTTTAAGTGGTAACACATTGCCGGTCCTGTGGCGGATAAAGGTGGTAATTGCTCCTATAAATCCATCCATTGACACGTTTCCTCTTTATCAGTGAAATGAATAATCCAGCCGTAGGTTCGTCTAAGATTTCAAAGTAATCATTTGAATAAACACCTGTTGATGTTTTTTTCAATGTTCTTTAAAACGAAAAATCGTGAACGAAAAAAGGTCACTAGAGTATCCAGGATTTAGTTTTTGGAGGGGTCTCAGCCCGAAAACTTTTTCTTTTTTTATGTACATATAAGGATATTTACCGTGGAAGAAAAGTAAAGCAACTTTATAAAATGATGTTTTATAATTTTTTTAAAAATTTTATTGTTTTATATTTTGTCTTTCTTTCTTTCTGCATATATATATGTGTGTGTGATTTTTTTTCTGCCCTGATGATGCCTGATTTGGTGAATCGTTGGAAAGTTTAACTGTATGATAAAAACTCTTGCCTTTATAGTTCAGTTTATAAAATATAAATTCTACAAAATATATACGAAAATATAAAAACCAGAATAACATGTAATTTTACATAAATAAATAGTTATCATAAGGATTTAAAGCTGCAAATAAGACTATTAATTTGTTGTGAGAAACACTATGAAAGCATTTGGACTTGAAATGTTTCTACTGTTCCTCTGTGAACCACAAACTAAGTCCTAATTCATCAAATATATTTCGATGCATAAAGGTGGTGAGACTTGCAAACAAAAATGAATAACTTGAATTTAATATTTAATCTAAATTTTAAAAAAGAATTAAATTTAAAAAATAAAATAACTTATAGATTTAATTATTTTCCCACCAAAATTAGACTTTTCCAACCAATGCAACAACTGTTAAAAATAGATGTTAGCTTTCCTGAAGAAAAGGAAAGAAAAATGTATCATAAACTTTTAATAAAATCTTCTCATAACCATAAATATATTATTTATCCATTTGATCCGTCATATATATAAGACAATGATTAAGGAACAAAACGGAAGAGAGCGTAAACACCATATTTATTCTCATTACTGTTATTTTCAAATATTGTTTCTCTAAGCCAGAAGTTTCTTACTACAGCTCCTGTGACGGATCCGACTCGCGAAAGTTTCTCTGATTACATGAAGACATTTTAAAAACTATTTAAAAATATTAAATTTAGCCAATTACTTACATACGAGGTTACTACAACAATTATTGTACCGAGTAAATCAGGTGAGTAAATGGTCATAAGGATATCTTATTTTGCGGCCTAGTAAATAATCCCCTTCGCTCCTTTCAGTATTTAAAATAAAATAAAAAAATATAATTTAGTGTTGTATTGCCCCACTGTATCACTCTTTGAAATCAAAACAATGAACCAAATGATTGTTAATTTCCTCTTTAATTCCCTGTATTATGGAACGTCTGATCAATTTGCTATCGAATCCATGTTTACAAAACGACTCAGTAACCTACTGTCTGCACGACGTGTGACTCTTCTACATTTATGCAGGACCCTTATTCGTTCAATTAGTTTCCGTTCTATTGAAGCCTTATGAAGTGGTCAAAACGTTTGTATTGGATAAATGGTATAATGCCATTTGTGACCGTCTCTCGGACCATCTTCTTGATCTTCAGATTCTGAATTCCGATTCTTGAAGTTTTATTATATTTTAAAATTACGTTGTCAAATACTCAAACAAGCGACTGAAAATACTATAATCTCTTTTTTAAAAATCGAAATTAAAAATTAAACGAAAACTAAAAACATACACATACCTATTTAAACCCTTAAGGACATAAGCCTCACAGATACGCAAATCAGCAAAAAGACTCACGAAAAATACAATCTTCTCAGTCTAAAATTTTGAGACTCATAACAACAACTCTCTGGTAAATAAATAATCATACTCTATATACCGACTTACGTACGACATACCGACAACCAATTATCTATCAACAAATGAGTACTCTTTACCCTCGATTTCATATTAAACTACATGGACACAAAAAAGACATACGATATGGCGACGGTTGATATGACCATCTTGTGGGGAAAGAAAAGGAGCTGGATGAGCAATCGCCTTTCTTGATTTAAGTAAATATACAACAAAGACCAGGAAGAGACTGGGTACTATTCTTACCTACTACAAAAAATCTATTGATTGTCACTTTAATAACAGGTGCTGATAAAGATCTAAAGAGAGAATTTTTTGTATTTAATCCTTTTAATATATAATAGATCTCACCAAAAAAATATTACGTATTCTTTTAATTTTTGCACATAATTTTGGCTATAAGTAATTAACCGACATTCCCTCAACAAACATCTAATCTTGCCATATAAAATTTCATAACCACATCGTCAGAATTAGAAAATAATAGGAAGTACCGAATTAGATATATTTTTGATAAGAGCTCCCACAGAAGAAATACTTATGCCGTTCTTTATTACTATTACCATTATCTTAACAGCCTTCGCAGTCATATTACAGTAAGCGGCTGGTTCAGACGTACAAATCCAGCGCTGCATGAGTTTATTGTTATAATTCGTTGCTAAGTTTGTGAATTAGTGTTTTATCTACAATTAAAGACACATAAATTATTTTTAAATATTAATCTAACAGTAGAAAAAAAAATTAAAAAGTGGAAATAAAAAAGTGACGAAATAAATGGATGGACCGACACCAAAAGATTCCCTCATTTCTCTCACAACATCAAAACGCAAAAGAGGTGAGTCTTATTCCATTTCTATTCAATCTTATTCATCTTGCCTTCATCACAAGTGAAATGGGATAAAAAATAATGATGGAAACCAAAGAACATTACGTGACCGATACAACAGAAAGTTTAGTCAAAATGCATAATCCAGACCGAAATTTCGAAACCATTTTCAAGTTTTTCCATAAACCGATTCCGAAATAAACATTTTCAAACAGAATTCGTGGTCCGTAAATGTGATGCCAACGGCTCGTCATGCGATGTGAGACAAATGCTGCATTTTTAATAGTTTTTGTTATTAATGTTGATTCTAAAATATTTATCATGTTTTTTTTTTCTTGGTCGATTTCAAAGGTTGTTTATTAAAAATAATAAAGCAAAAGTAAAATTGTAATAAAATAACACTAACCGTAATATAAGGGTGTTTCAGAGTTAAGTGGTCAAACTGCAAAACTGAACTAAGGATCTCAAAAAAAGATAAAAATTTCCTTAGAAGGTATGTCCGCAAATGCTTTGTTTAGAAGATATTCACACCTAAAGATTTTCGTTGTTATGGATTATTTACTTTATATAAAATAAATAAATCCTATTTTTAGTTCTAATTACTTTATTAATTAAATGTAAACATTAACATTCATATTAAATGTAGTTCAAAGTGAAGTTATGTCCGCAAACGCTTTGTTTAGGAGATGGATTAGATAGAATACTAATATGGCCTTTTATCCCTAACTTTATAAAAACTATTGGCAACATAAGGATTAATAATATTTGGAATTCGCATTGGAAACTCTCAACAACACTTATCAGTTTGTAAGAGGCTTTCGCAGAGTACTCATGATTATCCCATCCATTTATATTAATGGTGAATATGCCGATATGCTGTTTGTATACGATTTTCGCAATGGTAATGCTAATGCTGTCCGTCGTGAATATGCCTGGCGATTTCCGAATAGAAGATTACCAATAATGCTATCTTTAGCTCCACGTTTCTTAGACGTCTCTCAACGTCTTAGAGAAACTTGATTGGCCGTGAAGGACCAGTGGCTTGGCCTGCACGCTCTCCAGATCTGACACCACTGGATATTTTTTTTGGGTGATATTAAACAAAAACTCTATGCAAGTCCGGGCAATGAGCTTAATTCCTTACGAAGAAGGATGATTGAATCTTGTGAAACAATAAAACATATCCAGTGCCGTTCTGCCTCTGCTGCTGTTGAAGAAAGAAGCCTGTCTTAATGCTCAAGGAAATCACTTTGAACAACATTTAATATGAATTTAATTTAACGGACATACCTTCATAGGAATTTTTTTTCTTGTTTTGAGTTCCTTAATTAATATTTTCAGTTTGGCCGCTTAACCTTGAAACACCCTGTATATCAAAAACAATTACACAAATAACTCTGTTCATTTATGTAAAAAGGCCCACGGCACCGGAGCTTTATCATATTTTGTTATTATTCGATACTCATCCCTATAGAAGTCCATCCCTTCCTACATCTGTCGCTCCCATACCCTCACCACCTTTAAATTCCCATCCAACATTTAATGTCTTAATCTTACATGCATAGTAAACCATTGAATTCTCGAAACCTATAAATCCAAACGTTCTTATAATATCGGCTCAGGGAAATCCAACTCTTTCCATTTAAATATTCCCTAATTTCGTCTATAATTAAATTACTTATCGCGAACCATTTTACTCTAAACTCTCTTAATAAAGGACTAGTGTTGCCCAAAGTTGGTCTTGGTCTTGCACTTTGATTAATACTGGACCAATACTGCTAAAAAAAAAAGCTTTTGTGAATAAAAACAAGGCAAAATAGTTACTAATTCTAGATAGTTTTATTTACTATATATAAAGAATTAGTAGAACCAATATACTTTTGTATTTAACTCTTCCAATTCTTCATTCGGGGTTATGTTAGTTTTCCTCATTCTGAAAAATTACAGTAATATCTCTTTAGTATATATTAGTAACATTTTATAAAATATTAATAAATTTTCGACAAAACTATTAAAATATCATCTGGATCGGACCAGTTTTAGCAGCGTAGCAGTGGATTAAATTTTATACATTGATTTTTAATAACTGTTCAGTTGCTCATCAAAAAAATCATCCTCTAATGATTTCTCTGATCGGTTATCAGAAGCATTAGTCTTTTTTCAATTGTGCTATTTTTTATGGGCCTTTTTAAAATTAAAAAAAACAATGTTTGAAATCAGTAGGAAAGTCATGTGAGTGGACACATCAGATTTTTTATTTAAATTGGTGACGTTATATAGATAGTCTTTACTCAACAACTCTTTCATTCCAAGTTGAGGGCCTATCTATATCTTTCTTAACAACGCCTTTAATGTTTTGCCAAGTTAATTTTATTAATTTTTTTGGAGTTTACTATGTTTATCTCAATAAACCATCTAAACGTACCTATTATGTAGCATTTTAACGCTAACAATAACTAACATGTTTAATAAATAGCAATAAGTGAATCTTGTGCATGACTAAGACTAAGACTGAATACTGAGTGCGCAATACCAAGACGAGTCTTGGTCTTGCATTTGGACAACACTATACGCTATACAAGACAAATAGCCGAAAAATGGGCTACATCCTCCCCGTTTCATATTGCATAGCGTACAGAACCCATTAGCATGTTCGACATACCTCCTAAAATTATTATTATATATTAATTGTTTTCAATTATTACTACTTCCCGTTTATTGATTTTTAAATTTATTATTTTAGATTTTAATTAATAATTTGTTAATATTCCTATTTGCTTAATCAAGTCTCTAAAGCCCCGGATCCTATAATTGTATTTTGTTTTAAAGATTAAGATCCTATTATTAAGTGTTATGCCAGAATATTTTGATTTCACAGAGGAAATTCATCAAAGTAGTTATTGATTTAATATTCTTTAAATTATGAATTGTTGCAATGAAATTATGCTCAGATGAAGAATATTTACAATGACTACTAAACTAAATTAAAAAAAAAAAATCTGCAACGGACAGTATTAACGAAGATACTGCAAGCAATTTTGATTAAACTAAATTTTGTAAACCATTTCTGAAAAAAAATCATTTGGTTTTGAATAAAAGTAGCCAGCACCTCGTTTTTCACTTCATCGACTGAATTCTTGTTCCTGCCACTTAATGAGTCCTGGAGACTGCAAATCAGAAAAATACCGTAGGTGAGGAATAATTTCCCATCCAAAGTTCTTCTATTTCTGCAATGTTTACCTTTCAATATGAGCATTCGCACTGTCATGGTGGAATAAAATGCGGTATTTATCGATAAGTGAAGGTCATAAAGTTGTTTAGTGACCGTTTAATTAGTATCAAGGAATTAATGATGAAGAATTCCTTCCATATCCCACCAAATAGGCATCATTACTTTTTTCGAATGAACTCCTCTCTGATTCTGTTCTCAGTGTTTCCCCAGGACTTAACCACTGACGTTCACAATAACGTTTTCTCCTCATATTTCTGCAAGATTTCCGATACATTGAAGCAGCAATTTCTCCTATATCAAATTCCCAAAGTATCACATGGCATAAGTGGTTATGAGGGGAAATCCATTTTAATTGAAATTTCAGCACAGAATAACAAACTTTCTCCAACAAAAACATGATGAATAAAAAATTATGTAATACTATAATAAACAAAATATATAACCGCAATTAAATCGTAAAGGAGGGATTAGTAATATAAATTTATACAGGCAGATTTTAAAAAATCGACATTACTTATGAGTCGATCTGGTATAATGAGTAAATGCCTAAGAACGTCTAATTAACTGAATAACACTCCAAATTCAGCGTTAAGGATATATTTCTCAGTATGCTATTAGTATACATACCATACACTTTCATAATTGGCTGCCTTTACTATATCAACCCTCCTCAATATTTCTATTGTTGCACTGCTTTGGGAAGCTGTGCAAGATGATTGCATAGAACTTGTCAGATAAATATATGTATATGTTAATTTTGATATTTCATTTTAATTGTTAACGCTTGAATGATTTAAGTATAGTATAATTAACTAAGAGAAAAAAAACGAGTGCAGGGAAGATGGGAAAAATATATGCGAATGTATAAGCCACCGCCATTTTTAAGTATTTAAATGTACCTAATTTTCTTTATCATTTAAATTAAATTTCAATCATTTCTATCTCTGTGCATTTTTATTCTCCCAAATCTTTTCAGAAAAAGTAATTAATTTAAAAAAAAATAATTTTCAGGTTTCGATATTTATACCGACGATATTTATTAATGAATAAATGAAACAATCGCATCTATATTACTAATATTATCCAAATAATTATTCTGTTTTTAATATATTGTGTAATATATATTGGCAAAGAGGTGTTTCAGTAACCCTTGCAGTTAAACTTTGTTGCCTATAATAAAAGGGTTTATCTCTATGGTTCCAACAACATTAATCGCATTTACCGTCTTAGAATAGTTGGCAGTAACCTCAATCTTTAGTTAATTGATTTACTTAGACGTCAATACCATTAAGGTTAGTTATAAATGTACAACTAAAAAAAATTAGGTTCCTATACGTTTATATTATGCTATGATCACTTAACAACAGTATCAATCAACAGGCATGGTTTAGCCGTTCTGGTTTATAATATTTCTTCCTTTTTTTAAATTCTCAGATATGTTCCCCATTATATATATTTTTATACAAAATATATTTAGTAATAGTTCTTAGATAATATTCCAGGTATATAATTTTTATATTTATTTTCTTCAATCGAGTAATAATATTTTTTCCCTTGAGATTTAATAATGATTTATTGAATTAAAAAGTTTATTTTGATTGCCTAATAAAGTTGGATTACCTGCCAACCGAGTAACACAAGCCTTAAACGGACTCAGTCTTGTCGAGGGAGCATTGTGTGAGCTCACATACTCAGCGACAATGACTAGCTATAAAGAGGTTGGTTTGGTTATCTTGAGGTATGCATCCCTCTCCAGATATTGGAACCTCGTTCAGCGCCTGAGAAAGAGATTGGTGTCGATCAAGAGGATAGCCCTGCTGCATGTCATCAGAGCATTTAGAACATCACCTGAAGCGGTTCAGATCCTAGCGGGGGCGGCATCTTTCGACTCTCTCCTGCGAAAATATGTGACCAAACAAATGTTCAAGAAAGAAGGCTTGATATGATTCCCGGAAAATCTACTATCTAATCTAGTGAAAGACGATTGGGAGATGAGGGGGAGGGGGAGGGGTCATGGGGACTTTTGGGACTACCATTGCCAGAGGAGAGGACAGCGTGAATTCGCTTACTCTATGAACCGAAGGAACATCGGTTGGAAGCGTACCTAGCGTCAGCCATAACCAGCCTCCAACCTAACTCCCTGGCCCGGATAAGACCAAGAGTATACGGACACAAAACCGGCGCCCACGGAACGGACATTGTCCTACTACCATAACTTCCGTCCACTCGTCCGCACACTATACCAGATGACTAGCCTGAACTACTCGCTGCACGAAACCAGTGTTCAGCTAGTCTTGGCTGAACACTGGTTTCGTGCAGCGAGTAGTCGTAAACACAACGACCACTACGACCGCCACGGCCGAAGAGGATTAATGTCAGAATATCAAATCAGATCATTTTCCAAACAACTATAAGGTGGGCGGGGTGGCTAACGCGTGTGTACTGTACCGCCGTTGCCCGGCAACCTGATACATAAGACTTTGATAAAAAAAATAGTCTCGAGTTCGCGTCCCGGTGCCCGGAGGAGTTTTTAAATCACCGCCCACACTCCCTGGCCCGGGAAAACCCCCGTACAGCCTTAAAGGCGAGGAAGGGGAGGACAAAAAAAACAAAAAACCAACTATAAGTGAATCTCAACTCTATTCTGCGAAAATAATAATAATAATAATAATAATAATAAGGCTTAGCGAACCCGAAGGTTCGATGCCGACACCATCAATCGCTTGTTACACACCTCCCTCCACCGTTCGCCGTCCAACCCCAGTCCCTTCAGATCGGCTTTAATGCAATCTTCCCACCTTCGCTTCGGTCTACCCCTCGGACGCTTACCATTCGGCACAGCAAATATTAACCTTTTAGGAATTCTCTCGTTACTAAGCCCAACAACTTTACAAGCCCATTTGATTCGCCGCGATGAAATTACCTCAATTATATTACCCGGATACACCTCACGCAATTCGGCGTTGTGTAACCGTCTGAACTCTCCGGTTAACTCATCCTTCTTCGGTCCGAATATTCTACGCAATACTTTATTTTCAAAAACCTTAAGACGCTGCTCATCCCTTAATGTAAGCGGCCAAGTTTCGCATCCATAAAGAACTGTAGGCAAGATAATTGTTTTATAGATTCTAATTTTTAAGTTTCGGGACAAGAGGCGCGAACTAAGTAGTTTTGTCACAGAAAAATAACAAGCATTCCCCGCCTTCAGTCTAACCTTAATCTCTTCTTCAATTTCGTTTTTTCTAGTTATCGTAGAACCTAGGTACCTAAATTTATCTACCTGTTCAAACATATTACCATCTATATCGATATCACCAGTAGTATCGCCATTTTTGCAGCTAACCATATATTTTGTTTTATCCACGTTTATTTCGAGTCCTAGTTCTTTACCGGCTTTCATTAACGTTGTCGTATTTAGTTTTATAGTTTCAACGTCTTCGCTTAGCAGTACCAGATCATCAGCATAGCCCAGCACGGATGTTGTCCCGCCCAGATCCAACCCTTTCTCGGTTCGCATTACCTCCCTAATGGCATGTTCTAATGCCAAATTGAACAGGACAGGCGAAAGAGAATCCCCCTGTTTCAAGCCCGAACGAACCTCAAATTTTTTGGACAAATTATTACCGATTCTAACTTTATTGAGTGTCTCCGTCAAGCACATCCTGACTAGATTTACTAGTTTTTTTGGAATCCCCTGCTCGATTAGAATATTATACACTATTCTGCGAAAAACCTTAACTAAACTGATATGCAATGAAAGTGTATTAAACAAGAAAGATTTTATAAGATCTGATTATCTGTAGTTCAGTTATTTTGCTATAGTTTACTATAAAGTAACTGTTAATTACCTGAATTAAATAAGTTTTATGTTATCACTTCCTCTGAAGAGAAAACTCGACCATCTTTAGAATACACAGAATTGTACTTATCTCTTTTTCTGTTCGGAATCAAACCCTGCAATAATAGAATCACCTCGCAGAGTCTATTATGAAATCCGTATATTACTTTCCGGCCATCAATACAATTATAACTAATTGTTATTATTTATTTATTTGATTTTTTTTCTTGCACCTTAGAGACACGAATTTCTGATCACAAATAAAATATAGCGACCCAAAACCTGATGAACTTCTTAGTGTTTACGGACAAACCGCGTCCTTTGAACACCCAGCCTCGTATTTTTTCATGGTACTTAGTCCTAGAGCTCTTATCCACTAAATAAAATAGTTTTAACTTTAGTGAGACCTGAGATAAAAATCATACTTTACTTATTACTACTGATTAGATCGGTTGCACGATTAATATTGAGAAAATAAATTAATTAATATGGCCAGAAGTTTAAATCGCCTAGAAATGTGTTTAATTTATCTGAAAATTATTTTAAGCAAACAGGAAAATGATCTAATTGGATCATAACATGTATATGAAACAAATGTAATTGAATGCAGTAGTTGGTTGAAGATGGACCGTGGACATTGGAGTTGAAGCAGGAAACCAAATTATCTTGTTTAAACTATTGCTATCGGCTCCATCAAGCTACCGCCTCTTCTCCGCTCCTTCAATCTCCACTCTCTAAACTTCATTTAAACTTATACCATTATATAATTTTGTGAATTACATCAGATTCTCGGTAAGTCAAATTTATAATTAGAAAATTTTCTTATAGTTTAGTGTAATTCAAATAAAGGCAAATCACACTTTCCTCGACCCCTCTTAACATGAAGATGTATTGCACATTCATTGCTTTTTTCTTTGCCTATTATTGTCTGTAAGTAGGAGAAGGAATCGAACAACTTTTTTCTTCTTGCTGTTGTCCATATTGATTCATTTCTATAGCTCATTGAATAGGTAGTCCTTGATACTGTTGTTTTTTAATGTTGATAATTCTTGTTGAAATGTTTGGGTTAGTGCACAGGTGGAGAACCTTTTTTTCAATCGAGGCTATAAGGCTCAGTGTTAATGAAGGCTGCAATAATTTTTTTATATTTTATTGTTGCTTTTCTTATTTATCACTAAATACACAGACCCATACATAC